TGCTGACTTGGCTTCCAGGAAAGGGCTGAGTTATGAAACATGGTGACACTTCTTGGTCATGCTGACTTGTATCTGTAGGACCTCGCTCCTCAGGACCTCTCTTTTTGTGGTTCAGCTGTAGTCTGCCAGAGTAATTGTGACTTTCTTAGCAAGAGTTGTACCCACTGCAAAGCTTCTCAACGTTTGTGCTCACTTTCAGAGCCCATTTGGTGAATTGGTGCAATAAGAACAACGCTGCCCAAAATGCTTATGGTGAACAAACCCATACCCAGTGGTTTTTTGGCTAACAGCTGTATTCTGAATACTTGCAGGATCTTTTCAATAACTGCTGCATCCTCTCCCAGCTGTGCAACCTGATGGGGAGGCTGCTTTGTGCAGAAGTGAGATTTGCCACCGGACAGGGTACCCTGCTCTATCCCTAGAGCCTGAAGGAACCGTGTAGGATCTGGTAGTTATTTCTTACCATTCAAGTTTGCACCTTACTTTTAACATTACAACCAGAAATGAGTTATTTCTTCACCTGTACAAGGCAGCACCTCTGCAGTCCTGCTGAGTTTTGGATTTCCCACCCCACCACATGCACACAATACTTTTTACCCCACTCCAAATCATAGAATGGGTTGTAAGGGACCTTCAAAGAACATCTAATCCAACCCCCTGCGATGAGTAGGGATATCTTGAACTAGATCAGGCTGCCCAGAACCACATCCAGCCCGGCCTTGACTGTCTCCAGGGATGGTGCATCCAACACCTCTCTGGGCAACCTGTGCCAGTGTTTTACCACCCTCATTGTAACAAATTTCTTCCAAATGTCCAGCCTGAATTTCCCTTTGTTTAATTTAAAGCCCTAACCCCTCATCCTGTTGCAACAGGCCCTGCTAAAATGTCTCTCCCATGTAAGTCTTTCTTATAGGCCACTTTTAAGTACTGAAAGGCCACAGTTGGGTATCCCTGGAGCCTTCTCCAGCTTGAACAAGCCCAGCTCTCTCAGCCTGTCTCCGTAGGAGAGGCGCTCCATCCCTCTAGTCATCTTTGTGGCCCATGAACACAATCCACATGTTTGAACGTAAGGCATCCGGGCCCAGGTTGAGGGAAAGCCAGGGGTTACCCCAGTCACATGCAGCAAGCTGATCTTCTGCTGCACTTTCTGTTCAAGACCTGATTATTTGTGCAGGCTGGATTCTGAAACATTTGGCTTGGAGCTGAACAAGCACAACTGACAAACGGGACGGTTGCCTGGTGTGCTACAGCACAGGCAGAGAAGGAAGGAGCCCTGGTGTCATTCAAGTGCTTGACTGTTCTTTTTCAGCAGGTATTTTTTCAGTTCACAGCAGGCCATTGACACCAGAAAGTGCAGCAGCAGCAACAATTTCAGTGGTGAAACTGCCGATGTTACAATCAGAGGGAGATAAAGTGAAGTATTTGTTGGAGTGGCAGTACCAGGAAATGGCTGAGACATCACATGGTGGAGGATGTGCACTCTGCAGCACAGGGACATATTTACTTACAGGCTAGACTTCCACCAGGCTCAACCAAAGGCAGTTTTGGCTAGTTATTTGAGTTACCTGACCCACTTGCAGTAGGAAGTCATTATATAGATAGTAAATACCTACCCCACCCTTGGTAGGCAGACAGACTCTCTGCCAAAATAGTCTAACTCAGCTTAACAGAATATAAAATACTGTGACTTTCTAGTTAAAGTGTCACTGCAAAGACATTAGAAACTGCTGCTGTTCCAGTAAACTGCTCCACTTCTTGGCATTCAATCACTGTGAAGAAAGCCTCTAGGATTTACATCTTACCACCACCTGGAACACAAATCACACGCAAAGTCTGCGTATATATAGGCTGATATTTTTCTTAAGGTGCAAATCACTTGCTTCTCCCACTGATGAGCAAAGCTCCCTCTGGCATCAGGGAGGTTGCCTGTGACAGAGGATTCTGATAAGAGCTTTTACACAACCATTCATCTGAAGTGTTAAACAGAGACTCCAAGAATTTGTTCTTAGACTTCTTTGTATTATTCCCCTGTAATGAAAGCTGCAGCTGACTTAGCACACAGAACATGCTTGGTGATGAATACATTGATGGGTGGGTTTAAAATTTCAAGCGAGATGCTTGAAACATCGTCTACAAGTCATCATTAAAAATAAAATCATGGTACTGTTATAATAATTCAGAACTGTAAATTCTTTTCCCCATTAATAGATGAGATTTCCCCAAAATCTGTGGCCTGCACCAATGTTGACTCTGCAAATCATCACCAAAATAAGATTCTGGTCTTGCTTACACCAGAATATAGTTGGAGAAGGTCCATGTAAAGAGAGCAGATCTGTACTAATGCACCTAAAAGCAGGTCTGGTCCAAAATACGTTTTAAAGTAAGAGGACTTACTTCAAGTTAGAATGATGATGACCTTTGCTTGGATTGTAGGAACAGGTGGTGATAGAAAAGGAAGAAAAGCACTGTCATGTCTTCTACTGCACATATATCAGTGTAATTTTACTTATATTTTGTGTGTCTTACATGAAACTTCAGATACCGATGCTGAAGATCCTGGGATGGGTTGAAGCAGTTCATTTAGCAGAAACTGAAGTGAAAATTCTGTTTCCTTCAAAGGTCACTTCTTAGAGTTCAGGGGGTAATTTTTCATTTGATAAAACCAGGGAATGAGCTTGTTTGCGCTCTGCAAACCCAGGAGCTATTCACTGAAATCGAGCAGGTCTGGGTAGAGCATAGAGGGATAGGACAAGGTAGAGTGGCTTTAAACTGACCGATGGTGGATGTAGGTTAGCTCTTAAGCAGAAGCTCTTCCCTGTGAGGGTACTGAGGCGCTGGCACAGGGTGCCCAGAGAAGCTGTGGCTGCCCCACAGGTTGGACACAGGGGCTTGGAGCAAGCTGCTCTAGTGGAAGGTGTCCCTGCCCGTAGCAGGGGTTGGAACTGGATGAGCTTTAAGGTCCTTTCCAACCCAAACCAGTCTGGGATTCTATGATTACATGACTTGTTCTATTTCTATGCATGGGGCTTGTGTATTGCTGCTGCCTTTTCTGCACACCATGTGCTTGCTGCCTAGGTTGGCTAGGCTTAGGAGAGACCATGGATAAGTTAAAAAGGATTTCTGCTGCTATTCTGCGGATCATCTATTACATATCTATGGTGTTAAGGACAATGTGTCACATGGGGCTCAATGGGGGATTTTAATGCACTACAGCAAAGATCCATAAAGGACACAGGCACCCAGCTCTGAGGCTGAGATTCAGGAGCCTTAATTAGGATGCTGCTTTGCCTGCACAGTGAGCTGGGAGAAGCTAGTGTCTAGTAATGGAATTCACATGTACCAGTGCTCTGAGCAGGGGGCTGAGTTAGTGAGATGGAAAATGCTGAAGAAATGGATACACTTCTGCACTTGAGTTAGTGCCTAAACCCTGTTCTTGTATCGGACCCTGAGTGCTGAAGTTTTAGCAACATGGACCAGTCAGCCTGTGTTTACAATTGCCCTGACTTTCCTTAGGGAAATAAATCATTTGTTCTCATTTGAGCCTGCTATTAAAGTAGAAAGCTGCACACCAAAGCACACTGGAGCCCGGTGCTATCCTGGAGCCACACTTCCCTTGTTGTCATCCTATTTAGGAACACCCTTCATCAAATAATCACTGTTTGGCACAGTACTAAATTAAATCACTGAACTCCAAAACGTTGTTATGTGTCTACCTACTCCATGGTTCCATTGGGATGGAAATTCTCTATCTCCTTTAAAGACTGTTAGAGCCCTGCCTTTCTTGCTCACAACAAAAGGGGATTGTTGACTTTGTTTGTCGTTATTTTCCTGTTCAACAAAAGATGCTTATTCTTTCTCCCCAGTGCTGAGATCCCTGGGAGCCTGTAGACCTCCTCTCTGCTTGCTTTTCTTTCCCCTGGTTGACTACAAAATAGAAAGTCTCCTTCACCCTGGAGCTTGTGTTGAAATGCACAAAAGCAAATATTATCTATCTAAACTTTCAAGGTTTTCCTGATGAAGGTAGTAATTAAAAAGTCGATGTGAGGCATAATTGACTAAGGAAACAATGTTACAAGGCACAGCAGAAGTGGCAATGAGATTAACACACATTTATGATTAAGAATTAGTTGTTCATGAAATAAAAAGTCGTTTCAGTCAAAACCTTTTGACCTTTAAGAGATGCAGCAAACCCACGGTCGTGTAGTTGTTTTGTTGGAGCCTATTATTGCTATCCCACTGGAACCTTGAGAGAATAGCTTTTCTGATCCTACAACTAGGCAGCCTGTGGGCAGGAGAGCAGGGTTCTTGCTTTTTGAGAGCTAGCAGCCCATTCAAGGTGGGTTGACTTTCTAAAAGACCCATTTATTGAATGACGCAAGGTACAAATTATGACTCACTGCATAGGTTAAGTTGGTAAAAGTCAACCTGTATTCATCTTCCTAGCACCTACACAGCTGCATGAAGTATTTCATAATGGATTTAAGCTGGAAGATGGGAGATTTAGATGAGACATTAGGAAGAATCTCTTCTCTGTGAGGGTGCTGAGGCGCTGGCACAGGGTGCCCAGAGAAGCTGTGGCTGCCCCATCCCTGGCAGTGTTCAAGGCCAGGTTGGACACAGGGGCTTGGAGCAAGCTGCTCCAGTGGAAGGTGTCCCTGCCTGTGGCAGGGGTTGGAACTGGATGAGCTTTAAGGTCCCTTCCAGCCCAAGCCAGTCTAGGATTCTATAATTTATTAGCTCTAGAGTCCCATTAACCCTTTTAGAGGCTTAAAAATGGTTTGCAATAGAACCCAGAGAAACTGATGTACTTATCTGGTGAACTGAAGTTTTTCTCTTTTATCAGTGGTGATCTAGCGAACAGCAGATTTGCTTCTCTCTGGCCAGGATTAGGTCACAGAGTGGCCCAGCAGACTGGCTTTGAACATTTCTTCCTGTTTAACAGCCCTCAAAACACGCTTTGATTGCTGGTGTTTGCTGATATGTGACACTGTGTTTTCCAGGTCTCAACCAGATGAGCCAGGTACTCTTCAATCTCGGAAGCCTCTCATCATCTCACAATGATACTGTAAGTGATTGCTGTTTATTATAAGCAGCTTTTTAAGCACAAGCTTGGTGCCAGTCCAGTGCATTTTATTAGTTGAAACATTTCCTTTTATTTCCCACTTGTATTGCAACCTACTTTTTATGGTAGATTTAAAGCAATGGAAGCAGTTTTGCTGTGTTTGCAAGGCCTTTAAAAGGACTGACCCACCTCTTCACGTTCTCCACCCACCTCCTTCCCCATCTTCTCTCCTTTCAAAGGGAGAACATCAGCAAGTTTAGAGATTCAGATGTGGTTCCTAAACCTGTGTCAATGCGGAAGATCTACTATACTGCTGGAAATGGTGTGCAGCCACTTGTTCCTGTATTTGAGCTCTCCTTCCTCTCAGGAAACACAGATTTCAAGGGAAGGAAAACCACAAGTGACCCTTGTGCATGTCAGTGCAAAAAGTGGTGGTTGCTTAAAAAGAAAGGTGTTAACCTTATGTGCATGGCTTCATTTCTCCACCTATTCCTCTACTGTGCATGTTACAAATGACAGCAATGACAGGCTGCATGAGATGCCCATTGAGAGGTGAAGCATCTCTTTCTTTGACCCCCTGTCTGTAGTCCTAACTCAGCAGGATTTTCCTTGTCTGGTAATATGGCTGGACTAGAGGAGGGACTGTGCCTTCTCTTATTGCTGTGGGTGAATAAATACTGGCAATAGCCTTTCTCCAGTGTTGAATCAAACACTGAAATTCATTTACTTCTTCTCTGGTCATAAATACTATGTGTCAGCTTTCTGCAATCCACACTGTACTAACCTACTTGCAGAGATTCCTACATAAAGGAAGTGGCAAAATTGCATGGAAGATTATTGACAACAAACTAGTTTGAAACATGAACATTGGCCAGACACTTGTCTGTGCCTTTACTCAAGGAACACGTATTACCTTGTGACTTTCATGGTCAATCACATCTAAACCTAAAATGTGAGTTTCAGAGCACATGTAAAGACCAGATTGGAATTGAGTATAAAGATATATATACTGTTGGGTTTAAGCCCATAATAAAACTTGCTCAATGCTGATGAATAATAGATGCATTTAAAGGAAATTACGATCTGCTCCTGTTTAATCCTTGAAAGGAAAAAAAAAAGCAAATTTGCTTATAAATTCTCTGTAATGGTTTATTCTTTAAGACAGAACAATGGAGGCTTGGTATGAAATCAATAAAAGGGCCTCATTTTATGCCCCAAGTTTGTAACCTACACAGAAGTCTGTTATGGCAGCTGCCGCCTTCACTAACACACCAGGGTTCAGACCAGGTTCCTCCAGGGCTACAGTGGTAATGGCTCTTAAGTCTGGCTGAAACAGGCTGGAATTCCCTATGGATCAGGCACAGAGGTGGACCTGTACCATGCACTCACCTGTGCGTTACGTCAGTAAGTCTAATATGTGCCATTCCAGTTGTAGCTCTTGTAAATTAAACAGAGAAATAAGCTGCTTTTTTCAGTTCATGCCACCGCTGAAATACGATCCAAGGCTCAGGTAGATTGCAGCTGTGATCTTGCTCCTTGGTTATGAACATACATTTATGTTCTCAAGACATGAGAGCTCCTTCTACACAGGCAAAAACTGTAAAACCGAAATGAACAGCGTTCTCTGTGTACAGTAGAGTTATTTCAAGTGCCTGAGGGTTTGAACATAAGCAGACACTGTGTTCGCGTACAATCTAAGCAAGACTTCTGGGGTTTGGCATTTCAAATGACAATTAGAAATACAGCAGGCATGTTTCAGCAACTTTATGGGATCCCATAAACATCCAGCAAAGGATTCCAGACAAAAGCAGAGATTCACAGGAAGGATTGTTTGCTTCTTTTTGTGTCCTACTTCGGTTTTCAGTGGGATGTGTTGTCTCACATCACAAAACTAATGAAACAAAAGTAAAGGGCAGAAGGTTTCTCACTCCTTGGATGCTGTTGTATGAAAGAAAATGCTTCTTTGGGAGTGTAGAGTCTGTATGGCTCTGTCCAGGTGACAGCTTTAGCTTGAGGAGAAACAAGTCTGGAAGGTGAAAAGCACTTTCCTTCCTCAACACACAACAGACACAGTAGACTCCAGGCCTCCCCCTGGCACGATTTTGTGTGCCATGACAATACCTGAATTTTGCTGGATATATTTATGTAGTGATAGGACAAGGGGTAATGGCTTCGAAGTTAAACGAGGGAGACTTAGGTTAGACCTTAGGCAGAAGCTCTGTGATGGTGCTGTGATGGTGCTGAGGCGCTGGCACAGGGTGCCCAGAGAAGCTGTGGCTGCCCCATCCCTGGCAGTGTTCAAGGCCAGGTTGGACACAGGGGCTTGGAGCAAGCTGCTCTACTGGAAGGTGTCCCTGCCCATGGTAGGGGTTGGAACTGGATGAGCTTTAAGGTCCCTTCCAACCCAAACCAGTCTGGGATTCTATGATTTACCACAGGAATGACAGTATTGCATAGTCACTCAGCTATTCCCACTGTACCCTCCTGACAGCATGCCATGGGTTATGAAATTGTATATTATATCATGTACCTTTAAGCAACATCATGTTTACAAATATACAAGGCACCTCTTGTGACTGTGTTTAGACATTAACCTAAGGTGAGAAGAAGAACCTGAATCTCAGGTTAAGGATTTAATTACAAGACCTTTCTTCCTCAATGCTTTTTTTTCCTGCCACTTGTAAACCTTTGGCAAAAAGAGATCCTCAGCTGTGGTGGGTTTTTTGTGCCTGAATTTCTCCTTAATCAATTCCTAAATCTCCAAATTTGAAATTGCTGTGATATTGAGGAAAATTGGTCAGCTCTTTCCTAGCCTTGAGATGGGAGACAAACTGCAGTTTGGTTTTAGGTAGTTCTGAAAGCCCTCTTTTTATGACACTTTAGCAATGTGTTTTGTTCTGTGCATGTGCTCAAACCACGTAGGCATCAACTGAACCACCTAATGATGCTCGGCCAGAACTCCTCCCCTGCTCTCCTGGGTTTCTTTTAGTCCCCTCCTCACCATAGGAGCCACAGATGGCTCCTCTTTGTTTCCCTACATCTCACCTTTGCATTCTGAAAAATGCCAAGTATGGTATAAATTTGGGGGTATTTGTAGGGAATTTACCTTCTTCCTCCATGCAGAGGCCAAGGAACTGTTAGTCTCTCCTTTCTTGTCCCTGGAAACCAGCACTGGGATTATTTCTCAGGAGTCAGGGCTAAGTGAGAATTAGGTTCCTGCCTGGGTTAAGCAGCACTCCACATTAGTGATCCCATGTCCCAGTCTGGGCAGGAAGAAGTAAGGAAACTGTTTACTTTATCCTCCTTAGCGCACAAACCAAGCCACAGGAACTGGGAACAGGCCATCTGCCAGAAAAGAGGGAGATAGGAGGTATCTTAGGGTTACATTTGTTTCCTGTGGCTGTTGCTTTGCTTTAGTCCTTTCCCCTCCTCCGTAACACAATTCAGGACTACATAGGAGCCCTTTCCCCCTTTACCTGTATTTATCTCCTTTAATTACATGATACTTTTGCAATCTGAGGGAGGCAGAGGCGATCCCATCCTGCCTTTCTACCTTGCTCGTTGTAGCTTCATGTTCCTGACCCTGCCGCGGTTGCGATGCCATGCAAAACTGATAGGTCCTTTTTGTTTTGTTTGCCTTTTGCTTGGCATTCCTTCCCTTTCCCCTGCATTCCTCTTGCTCAGTGTATTCCCAGCAGCGATTTTTTCCCATGTGAAGGAGCATCAGGCGCGTCCCCCAGGCCTTCCACTGAAACCTTTACTGTGACATGGCCTTGGGCTGGATCTCACCCCTCATGCAGGTGCTTAACACAGAATGAAGGTCAAGTCCATTTAAGAGCTATTTCAGGGGCTTAAGTGGGCATGAGATAGGGTGCAATTTTAACACTCATCCTCTGTGCAGGATAAATTTGATGTTAATTGTAATGAAACTGCTGTGGTGGAGAGTCTTTCTAGCTCTGAGTAATGTTGTGTGCTTATTCCTTTGCAATAGCAGCTGTGTGACTTCTTCATTTATACAATCAACCTGAAACTGCCTTGATTAAATAAGGTTTGTAATTGCTGCTCTCACAAAAATCCTAAAGGGAAAAGCAGTTGCAGTATGTCTCCAGAATGCTGTCTCCAACTATACACTTTGCTGAACATTGCAGATAGCTTCTGCTGCGATGGAGATGTGGAGCTCATCTGAACGTGGGATGGATTTGAATAATCTCTTTCACTTGTCCAGCACCACAGATTTGTTCCTTGCCTTTCTTTTGCTTTGCCCAGGCTAGTAGTCCCCACCACCAGGACTTCAGCTGTTTGGACAAATGTATCACAAGCCACTGCACCTCAGCCTCAGGAAATATATCCTGCTGTTCAAAACAATTCCTCATGCTCCTTGACGTTTACTCCTATGGGTATTTGTAGACTGTTATGTCTGCCATTACTTGTTGTTTAACCTAGCAATAAGCATTTAGCTCTGTCCTCATAAATCATTTCCCCTCAGACTGCCTGTGCTCTGAAGTATGAAAAGCCCAGGCTAAGCCTACCCTTTCAATGACTATTCCCCACAGGATTTCATTGGTGGCACAGAATCATTGCTCAAGCCATGATTTCATTCCTGGCTTATTTCATGATCCTTTGCTGATTATACTGACCTAAGGATCTATACCAGAAGTTCTCTGCTTTTCTTTCCCCTGTCTACCCACATAGCCTTCAAGACTTGTTCGACCTCTTCCCCCAACTTTAACACCAGTAATTCAGGCTGCTTGTCCCTTCTCCCTAAGAGTACGTCATTTGGGAGTAGCAGAAGCTGCAAGGTGTATTCCCAATTCCTTCATATTCCTCACTCTTTGCTGAAGGACTTCTCCACAGCCACAAGCTGGTTGCCAGGGACAGCAGAAGGTGGACTTCCATAGCGTGTCTCCTTGGGTTGGTGGCTGATGGGTACAGCTGCCTGGAGCAGGGTAAGGAAGAGCAACTGGCTGGATTCAGACCTCCTCTTCCCAGTTCTGCGGTAGGCA